ATATGTATACATATGTATAGATTATTACAGAGACTACAGAAGAAATAAAACACATTTAAGTATTACAAAACACGCAACAAATACTCGAAATCTTCTTTTACAATTTAACTTTATTATAAAGTCATATTTAACTATAAATTAATTTGATTCTTGATAGATATAAAAAAATATATAGACATGTACAAACAAAAAAAAAAAAACATTTATAAATACTTAGTATAATCGATAAAACGACACGGTATCTTTCGAAATAGAATTTTTCATCTTTCATATATATAAGTTATTAACATCATGGAAGACTAAAATCTCATGGATATCCATATCACAAGAAGTATATATCTCTGGTGTTCTTTGATTGTGAAAGATGTTTAACTCTATATACATATATATCTTACGATATTTTTTAATACGTCACGAAAGTAATGTATGCATTTTTGTAACACTGTGATTACATGAAATGTAATACACTGAACATTGTCGGTAGAAAACTCGAAGTTGCACTACTGGGTTTTGGACTTTGACATAATAAAAAAGAAAAGAAATACATAATATGAAATATTTCATAATACTATGTGTGTACCTTCAATTTCACATAGAGCTTAATAATAAAGCCTAGTGTAAAAACCCAAAACCATGAGAAACATAGAAATTGTGAAAATTCCTATGGATCAGGAGAAAGTCAGACTGGTGTAGAAGCTGGAACGGAGCAAGCTACTTCCTGTGCCAATGCAGCATTTCTCAAGACTGATAAATGTGTATCCATATCACTTAAAGCTTGATCAATGAATGCCAACTTTCTAGCATGACTCTTGGACACTCCGTGCTTAGTCACCAATGCTAAGTGTGTAACGGCTAATACCAATGCTGCTACTCTCGCTTCTAATAATCTGGCATCTAATGGTGGATACAAACTTCTGACCACATCATCAACACGAGGTGGAATACGTCTAGCAACCTAATAGACACACAATTATAAATTCTACATCTAACATCATTATAAAACAAGAAAATGCACCACTTACATCCACTATCTCTAATGGAACAGTGTTACTGTTCACTGTGCCTGCAATAGCAGTGAGACTGGAGGCCAAAGCATGACAAGATCTTAACACAGCAATGCAGAGTGGAGCTAAACCAGTAGCATCATCAACCCATCTGTATCATTCATAAAATATCGCTATTTACCAACCAATTCTTAGAGTCTTGTCTCTAGATATTAACGTATTAGTAAATTGAAACACTTTAATACCTCTCTGCACCAGCTAACCACTCTTCACTTTCCCAAGCATCTAAGCCCAAACCAGAGAAATTCTCTCCCTCTAACAAGTCTGAGCTTAGGTCTGGAGAGTCTTTTTGATTCTAAAAAGTGATCATACAGATTTTACCATGTCAACATACAAGAAAGAACAAACGATTAACTTACATAGTAACATCTTTGTCTTTTGCATATAACAAGTAATACTAGGAGTGCGCCGAGGAAGACAGCAGCTAGTGCGCCAAGCGCAACAGCTACCACTGTTTCCATTCCTGTAGCACCAGCCGTGGGGCCAGTGTTACTTATGGACACTGGAGAACTCATCCCTCAGATGAGTTTGACGATCCAATTGTGCTTTGTTCAAATAAATTTTTGGACTAACTAAAATCTACTAATGAACACTGTTTGAACGATTTCCCCCCGTGTCAAAACAGTGAACAGCGTCGAGTTTCCCGGTGATAGTCGGTGGGAGGCGGAGACTGTCACGAATTTTAAGCTCCATTCATCAAGAAGTGATTCCCAGCTGCAGCCTTTGCAAGCCACGTTACATGATTCGAGGATTATATTAACAGGTGGTTTTTTACCACCCCTTGCCTGTACAGAGGACATCCACGAAAAATACAACCGTGATTGGCAAATCTCCAAATAATAAAAAGAATATCGGCGTAGCAGAATATTTTCGAAAAGTATTCCTTTTCATTGCTGTTACGAGAAGTTATTTTATTAGGGAAAAATTCGGAAAAGCTTCTATTTCATCGTTATGTTTCTGCACATATAACGTTTTTAAGACTCTGTAATTGTACTTTCTAATAAAAAAAATTAACGTATAGAGAATTCTAATAAAATATCAACGCGCTATGAACAAGTATTAATCATTGTACGATTCAATTTGCAAAATTCAGTACGTGCACTGTTCGTGTACTTTTGAAAAATATATTTTGTAAAATTATTTTGCGAGAAGATGAATTAAATTAATGGCTTAATTGTCTGTAAAAGTTCGTCATAATTCTTTTAGAAATCGAATCGATTCTCCGAATATAGAATTCTTGTAACGAAATAAACTTTCTTTAAGAAAGAGTTTCGAAGAGCTTTAGATACTATCTATAATTATATTATCATTGCTTCGAAAATCCAAACTTTTACAGATATTTCATATTATAGCTTTTAATCTCGTACGAGTATATAATTTTAGAATTTTACAATTGCAGTTTCTTCGTGTAGAACTTGCGTATTTAATTGCATTGCAACATACATTATTTTACATAAGATCCTATCGAATGAATAATCATTAACAAAACCTCGAAATCGTTCGACAAAAGAAAAGGAAAAAAGGGAAGCACAAACGAATTAGAAAGATCGATGAAAGAATGATTTATCAATCGATCGGCCAATAATTATTATGCACGTTATAACAGAATTTGGCAGCACTGGTGGCTTAAAATGAAATAATAATTCAGTGTATTTCATAGTCATATGTTTTCTGTCATGAAAGAGTCGCTGTCAAATTTCGCGAAACACACTTTGTAAGTGAAAACGGCAAACGTGTCGTCGCCACGGAATAACTCACGATCTCACGATCGAGATACGTTATGCTACGTGTACATCTGCATTTACGTTGCTAAGTTTCCACAGGGGAACATAACCTAATTCTCCAAGATCTTCTCTCGCTTACCACGCTAGGTAACACTTTGAACGTGTGATATTGAATCGATATAACACGTTTTGAAAATCTTGGTGAATGTCTGCGCCTTGTTATGATTGTTACGTGAACAATGCTGTCTCTGTGAGTTCCTCAAGTTAAGAAACCTCAACGAAAGATTTCTCAAGTTAACGGGTAGAGGTACTCGTGTTGTTGTGCAAGGGAACGTGCGTTTTAAAACAGGCAGAAAGATTAAGGGCGATTAATCGGTGATATTAGAATATCAGAATTTACAAGACATTCGTTTCGCGAAGATGAAGAGGATAACGAATAGTGCGACAGCGAGACTAAAACAGGACTATTTGCGTCTTAAAAAGGATTCCATACCTTACGTCGTCGCAGAGCCAGTACCGTCGAATATATTAGAATGGTATGTGTGTATATATATATATATATATATGTTTTTGTTTAAACGTGTTATACATTAACAGCAAATTCGCGTAGAAGCTTATAAAGCATTGTACAATCTGTTTCAGGCACTATGTTGTAAAAGGTCCGGAGAAAACACCGTACGAGGGTGGATTTTATCATGGGAAGCTTATATTTCCAATAGAATTTCCATTTCAGCCTCCTAGCATTTACATGACTACTCCAAACGGGAGATTCAAGGTCAACACAAGATTGTGCTTGTCCATTTCTGACTTCCACCCTGACACATGGAATCCAGCATGGAGTGTGTCTACGATTCTAACAGGATTACTTAGTTTTATGGTGTGTGATCAATGATTAACCTTAATCAAGTGGTATGTCGCAATGATGCTAATATGTTACGTTATGTATGATAGATTGAAAACAGCCCTACCATGGGTAGCATCAACACGTCTGATTACGAGAAGAAACAATTCGCTGCACAGAGCTTGGAGTACAACTTGAAAGACAAAATGTTCTGCGAACTTTTCCCAGAGACTGTCGAGGTTAAAGAATGTTAGAGAAAGATAAAAGTCTGTTGACCTAGCAGATTAGCAAAAGAATGTTTATGTTTCTAGACGATAAAGGTGGAACTGGAACAGAGGAAAGAGCTGGAGAAACAAGCGAGGCATCAGACTACAACTTCGGAAGTTTCGTCGCTGTTACGCGACCAGCTACAAAGGGATCAAAGTCCGTTGTATAGTGTGCTCACCAATCTCATTGTCATCATAGGATTTGCGGCATTCGCTTTCACAGTAAAATACGTATTATGGAGTGTAGCGATGGAATAAGAGTGAATGAAAAGAAGGAAACGAAAGATGAATGCACACGCAGCAGCAGCATTCGTTGTTTAAGTAATGAAGGAAAACGCAGGGAAAAATGTTGTGATAACGATGCGTGCAGATCTTTGAAAGGTATTAGAAATCGGGACTGTTTCATCGAACAAAAACTCGTGGATTCTACCACGTGAAATACTATTTAACTTCTTGGTTTCCGAGTACACTGATACACCGCACCGGGAGTTTGTTAAATTTTTATATCAGAGTTACTTGTAAAATACGAGTTGTACTATATTCTCAAATTTTTAACGTGATAATCGCGGAGCAACCTATCGGTAACGATTCCTCGACGAGTTCCATCTGTGAGCGTTTATCATCAGACGAAATACTAATAGGTTTTTTATCCAATTGTAAAAAAAAAAAAAA